GGATATTATTAACCTGTCTGTACCTCCATTTTCCTGTCTACAAGTTAGACATATTAATAAAACTGCCATATATATATACACATATGGCATACCAAAACACTGACACATGTATTATATCCTGACCAGCTATTTTAAAATATCCTGCACATTTAGAAAAACTATCCAAATGCCTAAGACACTCTGACAGCTCATTATATAATAGCCACCTTTCTCATGAGGCCAGGAATCCTTCTCCCCATAACATTCAGTCAGACTCCCCAGCAAAATGAGACCTGTTCCCATACTAGGCTTGCCAACTCTAAGATGGTCTCTTTGTACTGTTAATTCAGATACTTTGGTACCTTCTTTTCAAGGTCCTCTTTCATCCCTTGGGATACAATATAATATCTACTTTGTCCCAGGAAAAGTGATTCAGGCACTGGTGGCTCACATCTATAATTCTAGCTGCTCAAAAGGCTGAGATCGGGGCTGGGAAGGTGGCTCAGTGGTAGAGCACTTGCCTTGCATGCATGAGGCCCTGGGTTCGATTCCTCAGCACCACATAAACAGAAAAAAAGCTGGAAGTGGTGCTGTGGCTCAAGTGGTAGAGCGCTAGCCTTGAGCTGAAGAGCTGAGGGACAGTGCCCAGGCCCAGAGTTCAGGCCTACGTCCGGACCCCCCCCCAAAAAAAAAAAAAAGGCTAAGATCTAAGGATCCCAATTCAAAGCCAGCCTGGGCAGAAAAGTCTGTGGGATTCTTATCTCTAACAAGCAAAAAGCCAGAAATGGAATTGTGGCTAAGGTGGTAGAGGGCTAGCCCTTAAAAAAAAAAAAAAAAAAAAAGCTAAGGAGCAGCCTCCAGGCCCTGAGTACAAGCCACACAACGCAAATTAAAAAAAAAAAAAATAGATGGAGGCTGTGACAAGTGATTTCCATTCTCCTTGGCCACGTGTTCTGTAATGGGGGTTCAAATCAAGTTGTGGGCAAAACAAGGTTGTCAATAGTAGAGCCAGGCAAGTCCTAGACATTGCAAATGGCCTTTAAGGGCAGGAAAAGAGAGGTGCATGCAAAAACAGAAGGGCTAGGAAGGAAAACAGGAGCCAAAAAAGGAGAGGGGAAGTAGGCTAGAGAGTGCCTCAATTCAACCTCACTCCTCTAGCTCATGATTGTTCCCTGCCAACTACCCACTGCCTGTGAACCCTGCAAGATCCAAGGCCCTCAGAGAGCTGGCACACTTTCCATTAGTGAAAAACATTATAAACACTACATGGCTGAATTGTATCTCCCAAAACAAGGGTAAGTCTGTCTCTGCTACTTTATTAGGAAATAGGTGATATTACTTGAAAATTTGGTTGAGTACAGGTAATTGGCTACATGGGTCTTACTGAAATAGATGGAACTTTCAACCAATAAAACTGTTGTGCTTTTCTCTTTTCTTTCTCTTTTTTCTTTTTTTGGTCCCAGTACCTGTGTTTGAACTTAGGACCTCAAGCTCAGCTTATTTGCTAAAGCTGATACTCTACCATTTGAGCCACATCTTTACTATTTATAGCTTTTTGCTGATTAATTTGGCGATAAGAGCCTCTAGATTTGTTTGCCTGGGATGGCTTTGAACCAAAATCCTCATATCTCAATTTCCTGAATTGCTAGAATTACAGATATAAGCCATCAACACCCAGCAAGACCAGTGTACTTATAAGAAGAAAAGAGGTATAATGGACATTTAGCATGCCCAGGTCCTGGGTTCAGTCCCCAGCACTCCCCACATGCAAAGGAAGGGAGAAGAAACAACCAGAGGAAAAGATTCACACCCTGCAGCTGCCAGGCAAGGGATACCATGGATAGATAACTAGCAAAAGCTGGGGAAGGGGGAGGAAAGATCTTTCTCCACAGCCTTCAGAAGGGGCACAGCCCTTCTGACACCTTTATTTCACACTTCCAGTCTCCAGAACTGTGAGATGAAACATTTCTCTTGGAGCTGGGATGTGGCTTAGTGACGGAGTACTTGCCTAGCATGCATGAAGCCTTGGGTTCAATTCCTCAGTACCACATAAGCAGAAAAATCTGGAAGGGGCACTGGGGCTCATGTGGTAGAATGCTAGCCTTGAGCCCCAAGAAATTCAGGGACAGTGCCCAGGCCCTGAGTTCAAGCCCCAGAACCGGCAAAAATAAAAAGGGGGGCAGGGGGACTGGGAATGTGGCTTAGTGGTAGAGTGCTTGCCTAGCATGCATGAAGCCCTGGGTTCGATTCTTCAATACCAAATAAACAGAAAAAGCTGGAAGTGGAGCTGTGGTTCAAGTAGTAGAGTGCTAGCCTTGAACAAAAGAAGCTCAGGAAAAGTGTCCAGGCCCTGAGTTCAAGCCCCAGGACTGGCAAAAAATAATAATAACTATCTTTTTGTAAGCACCCAGTTTATAGTACTTTATTGGGACAGGGAGGAAACTAATACACTACTCAATGAAGTACAGGGCTACTACATATTTATAAATTAAAAAACACTAAGGTTTTATGTAACATAAGAAATGGAGGGGCCAGGAAGATGGCTCAGTGGTAGAGTGCTTGCCTTGCATACAAAAGGCCCTGGGTTCAATTCCTCAGCATCACATAAATAGAAAAAGCTGGAAGTGGCACTGTGGCTCAAGTGGTAGAGTACTAGCCTTTAGCTGAAGAGCTGAGGGACAATGCCCAGGCCCAGAGTTCAAGCCCGACAAAAAAGAAAAGAAATGGATTTGGGGGAGGGGGGCTGAGGGGCATCAGTCATGGGGCTTGAACTCTGGGCCTGGGCACTGTCCCTCAGCTCTTCAGCTCAATTTGAGTGCCCTAACACTTAAGCCACAGGCCACTTCTGGTTTTCTGGTGGTTTATTGGAGATAAGAGTCTCACAGACTTTCCTGCCCTGGCTGGCTTTGAACCCAAATCCTCAGATCTCAGCCTCTTGAGTAACTAGGATTACAGGCGTGAGCCACTGGCACCCAGCTAAGAAATGAAATTTTAAAAGAAAAATTAAGAACTGGGTGTTAGTGGTTCGTGGGTGTAATCCCAGCCACTAAGAAGGCCGAAATCTGAAGATTGGGGTTCAAAGCCAGCCTAGGAAAGAAAGACCATGAGACTCTTTTTTTGTTTTGTTTTGTTTTTGTTGGGCTTAGGGCTTAAACTCTGGTCCTGTCCCTTAGCTCTTCAGCTCAAGGTAAGTAGTCTACCAGTTGAGCCACAGTACCACTTCTGATTTTCTGGTGGTTAATTGCAGATAAGAGTCTCACAGACTTTCCTGCCCAGACTGGCTTTGAACCATGATCCTCATATCTCAGCCTCCTGAGTAGCTAGGATTATAGGTATAAGCCACTGGCACTGGCTCTGTGAGATTCTTATCTCCAATTAATCACCAGAAAACCAGAAGTAGAGCTGTGGCTCAGAGTGGTAGAACACTAGCCTTGAGCAAAGAGCCCAGGCCTTGAGTTCAAGCCCCATGATGGACAAAAACAATCTGGGAGATAAGGGGCTGGAGGTATGGGTCAAGTGCTAGAGCACCAACCAAGAACAAGCAAACTTGTTCATATATATATTTGAGACAGGATCTTACTATGTACCCTAGACTGCCCAAGAACTTGTAATCTTTCCTAATGCACAACCACACTTGACTGTAATTAAACATTTTTAACTATTTTTTACTTCATTAATGGTATCCAAAACCTTTCCATGAGCAGTGTTAAGCTTTACTTGTTTTGAATATCTTGGTTAAAAAATCATAGCCCAGGGACTGGAAAGGTGGCTCAGTGGTAGAGCGCTTGCCTTGCATGCTTGGGGCCCTGGGTTTAATTCCTCAGTACCACATAAGCAAAAAGAAAAAAAGCCGGAAGTGGCGCTGTGGCTCAAGTGGTAGAGTGCTAGCCTTGAGCTGAAGAGCTGAGGGACAGTGCCCAGGCCCAGAGTTCAGGCCCCACAACAGGACCCCCCCAAAAAAATATCATGACCCAGGAGGAGGAGGCAACAATGCTCAATAGGAAACCTATGTACTCATTACCTTGCTTATGTAACTGTAACCCCTCTGAACAGTATTTTTACAATAAAAAACCAATCATGACCCAGAAGCTGGGCTCTGGTGGTTCACACCTATAATCCTAGCTACTTGGAAGGCTGAAAAAGGGAATATGACTGTTCCAAACCAGCACAGACAGCAAAATCCATAAGACTCTGCTTCCATGGAAGGGAAGCTGGACTTGGGGGCCCATGTCTGGGATTCCAGCAGGGACTGGAAACCTAACATAGGTGGATCACGGCTCAAGTGCATGCCTGGGCAGGAAATGAGATATTAGCCTAAAAATAACCAGTGAAAACAGGGCAAGAGGCAAAACTTAGCTGTATCATTCCAGTTTAGCAAGCATGAGACCCTGAGTTTAAATCCCAGTTCCACCTTAAAAACAAACAAACAAATTTCAGCATCTAGAAATGCAAGAGGTGTAATCCTAACTTTTTTGTCTATAGAAATTGCTGTCATCCACCCGGGAAGGTGGTTCAGTGGTGGAGTGCTTGCCTTGCATGCATGAGGCCCTGGGTTTGATTCCTCAGCACCACATAAGCAGAAAAAGCCAGAAGAGGCGCTGTGGCTCAAGTGGTAGACCGCTAGCCTTGAGCTGAAGAGCTGAGGGACAGCGCCCAGGCCCGGAGTTCAGGCCCCATGACCGGACCCCCCACCAAAAAAAAGAAAGAAAGAAAGAAAGAAATTGCTGTCATTGACAGGGAACTGTGAGTCATGTCTGTAATCCTAGCCACTTAGGAGGCTCTCTGAGGATGGAGGTTCAAAGCCCACACAGGCAGGAAAGTTTTATTTTTGTTTTTTGTTTTTTTTGATCTGTTATGGGGCTTGAACTCTGGGCCTGGCCACTGTCCCTCAGCTCTTTCACTCAAGGCTTAGAGCTCTACTACTTGAGCCACAGAGCCATTTCCAGTTTTCTGGTGGTTAATTGAAGATAAGAATCTCACGGATTTTCCTGCCCAGACTGTCTTTGAACCATGATCCTCAGATCTCAGCCTCCTGGGTAGCTAGGATTAGAGGCATGAGTTACCAGTGCCCAGCTTGAGACTTTTTTTTTCTTTTCTTTTCTTTTTGCCAGTCCTGGGGCTTGAACTCAGGTCCTGGGCTGCTTTTGCTAAAGCTAGCTCTCTACCACGTGAGCCACAGTGTCACTTGCTGTTTTTTCTGTTTATGTGGTACTGAGGAATCAAACCCAGGGCTTCATCCTTCCTAGGCAAGCACTCTACCACTAAGTCACATTCCTAGTCCTTCTTGAAACTTATTTCCAATTAGCCACTAAAAAGCAGGAAGTGGAGCTGTGATTCAAATGATAAAATACTAACCTTGAATTAAAGAAGAAGAAAAAAAAAGCTCAGGAACAGCACCTCCGGTGCTGAGTTCAAGGCCGTGGACACACACACATACTCTCTCTCTCTCTCTCTCTCTCTCTCACACACACACACACACACACACACAAGAAAGTGCAAAAAATGTTGATTCAAATAAAAAGTCCACAAAAAGCACCTTCTACCTTTGCTTTTTTTTTTTTGGTCAGTTGTGGGGCTTGACTCTGGACCTGGGCGCTGTCCCTCAGCTCTTTAGCTCAAGGTGAGCACCTCTACCACTTGAGCCACAGCACCACTTCCGGTTTTCTAGTGGTTTATTGGAGATAAGAGTCTCACAGACTTTCCTGTCCTGGCTGGCTTTGAACCGTGATCCTCGGATCTCAGCCTCTTGAGTAGCTAGGATTACAGGCCTGAGCCACCATGCCCGGCTTAATCCTAAGAGCCCACAGTGTACCTCCAGAACACTGACCTGCAAGCACTCCAGCCAGGTATACCAGCCCTACCCGGAGACCTTTGTGGACCATTTCCAAGGGGATCCCCAACACAAGCTGCATGAAAAGATTCCCCACGATGTGCTGCACTCTGCAGAAACAAACACAGTTATCAAATCTCTGAATTATTTCCTGGGAAATACTGATGATTGTTTCTATGTAAAAACTTACTACAATGCCATTTTCTTTTTCTTTCTTTTTTTTTTTTTTCCTGGTCTTGGAACTCAAAGCTTGGGCATTATTCTTGAGCCTCTTTTTGCTCAAAGCTAGCTCTCTACCACTTGAACCACAGTGCCACTCCAGCTTTTTCTGCGTATGTGGTATTAAGGAATCAAACACAGGGCTTCATGCATGTTAGGCAAGCTACTCTACCACTAAGCCACATTCCCAGCCCCTTCTCCTTTATTTGTGGGTCATGAGGCCTGAACTCTGGGCCTGGGCGCTGTCCCTCAGCTCTTCCACTCTAGGCTAGCGCTCTACCACTTGAGCCACAGCACCACTTCTGGCTTTTTCTGCTTATGTGGTGCTGAGGAATCGAACCCAGGGCCTCATGCATGCAAGGCAATTAAACCCAGGGCCTCATGCATGCGAGGCAAGCACTCTACCACTGTGCCACCTTACCAGCCCCCAGCCCAAAATTTTAACTTTTTTTCTTTGGTAGGTATTAGAGTTTGAACTCTGGGCCTGGGTGCTGTCCCTGAGCTCTTCAGCTCAAGACAAGCACTCTACCTCCTGAGCCACAGCACCACTTCCAGTTTTTTGCACCTGGCCCATTTTCTATGTTTTAATAATTAAATTTTTGTCAGTTGTAGGGTTTGAACTCTGTGCCTAGGTACTGTCCCTTAGTCTTAAGCTCAAAGTGAGAGCTCTACCACTTGAGCCACAGCACCACTTCTGGTTTTCTGGTGGTTTATTGGAGATAAGAGTCTTATGGCTTTCCTGCCCAGCCTGGCTTTGAACCACAACCTGCAGATCTCAGCTTCCTGAGTAGCTAGGATTACAGGTGTGAGCTACCAGTGTCTGTCTTCTGAAGAAAATCTTAGATAAAAAAAAAAGGAAAGAGAATTTTAGAAATATAAATAAGCTATTCAGTAGGCTGAGATCTGAGGATCATGATTCAAAGCTAGTAAGAGCAGAAAAGTCCGTGAGACGCTTATCTCCAATTAAACAGCAAGAAGTCAGAAGTGGAGCCCAGATCTCAAGTACTAGCCTTTGGCAAAAAGGCTCAAGGACAGTACTTAGGACTTAGGAGTTAAGCCCCAGAACCAAGCACAAAAATAAATAAAAAACACATAAATAAAAATGAAAAATAAAAATGTAGCTAGAGTGCTTGTCTATCATGCAGAAGTCCATGGATTTGATTCCCCAGCAGCACAAAAAAAAATTTTTTAAGTTACTTTTCACAGTAGCTGTAGTTGGTATCTCTTCTCCTCTCAGATACTATAGTTTAGCATGTCATATATTTGAATGTGTGAGGATTTTTTTTTTTTTTTTTGCCAATCCTTGGTCTTGAACTAAGGACCTGGGCACTGTCCCTAAGCTTCTTTTGCTCAAGGATAGCACTCTATCACTTGAGCCATGGCACCACTTCCAGCCTTTTCTGTTTATGTGGTACTGAGGAATTGAACCCAGGGCTTCATGCATGCTAGGCAAGCACTCTACTACTAAGCTACCTTCCCAGGATGTGTATGGATTTTTTTTTCTGTGTATGGATTTTTAATTAGTTTTTACATATGTAAATATATATATGAGTGTACACATACAAATGTGTGTGTGTTGTGTGTTTTCTGTGGTGGTGGGGATGGAATCCAGGCTGTATGGCATGCTTGGCAGATGATCTACCACTGCATTACATCTCCAGTCCAGTAAAATACATACATACATAATTTTGCAGGTACAGGGCCTTGACATAGTACTTTTACTTGGCTTTTTTTACTCAAGGCTGGCACTCCAGCACTTGAGCTGCACCTCCAGTTCTTTTTTTTTTTTTTTCTGGTTAATTGGAGATAAGAATCTCTTAGATTTGGGCCTAATGTCAGTGGTTCACACCTGTAATCCTAGCTACTCAGGAGGTTGAGATCTGAGGATTGCAATTCAAAGCCAGCCTGGACAAGAAAGTCTGTGAGATTCTTATCTCCAATAAACCACTCAGAAAACTGGAAGTGGTGCTGTGGCTCTATTTTTTTATTTTTATTTCTTTTTGGGGGGGTCTGGTCATGGGGCCTGAACTCTGGGCCTGGGTACTGTTCCTCAGCTCTTCAGCTCAAGGCTAGCACTCTACCACAGCGCCACTTTCCGGCTTTTTT